AGGCCAGTCGCTTAAAAGCGGAGAAACTCCCACTTCACGGCCTTCTCGAAGCCTTGCAAAGAATCGTTCTGGAGGAATCGCTTTTGCCTACTCACGCTTACTCGTGCGTGTCCCTGGCGTCCTCCGTCTTGCTGCGTGTGGTCTGCTCCTCCTGTGGCTGCACCTGCTCCTGCTGTCCTCTGTCTTGCTGCGTGTGGTCTGCTCCTCCTCCGCGTCGCTGCACCTGCTGCGGGTCTCGTGCCGTGGTCCGTGGGTCTTTGCCGCTCTCCTCCTTTGCGGGCTCTTTCTGCGGGTTCGCCGCTGCTCGTCTCGTCGCGGCCTGCTGCTGCATACGGCCGGTCTGGACCGGTGCGGTGGGAGCTGTGCGCATCCCTGCCTCCTCGTGCCGGTACGGTGTGGTCCCGTTGTGTTGTCCCTTGTCTTCTGGCGTTGTGGGTAAGTATGCGGACCTGCGGACGGTTTATTCCCCTCGCATTGTACTGCAGGCTCGGTTTTGGCCCCGCGCTTTGTACTGCAGGCTCGGTTGGCCCCGCGCTTGTACTGCAGGCTCAGTTGGCCCCGCGCTGGTGGGCAGGCTTCAGTTTAAAGCCCTCGCATTGGTCTGCAGGCTCTCTTCAACCAAGCTCCGTTAAATCCTTCACTCTGACTGCAAGCTCCGTTTAATCCCTCACATTGGACTGCAAGATCTCAGTTTTAATCCCTCACTTGGCCTGCAGGCTCTCAGTTTTAATCCCTCACTTGGCCTGCAGGCTCTCTTTAAATCCCTCTCTGGACTACGAGCTCTGTTTAAATCCCTCTCTTTGGACTGCAAGCCCCGTTTAAATCCCTCTCGGACTGCGGCTCCCAAATTGAATCCCTCACATTGGACTGCGAGCTCTCAGGTTAATCCCTCACGGAACTGCTTATATCTGGAACTGCTTATATCTGGAACTGCTTATATCTGGAACTGTTATACCGTATCTGGAACTGCTTCATATGGAACTGCTTATATATGGAACTGCTATATATGGAACTGCTTATATATGGAACTGCTTATATATGGAACTGCTTATATATGGAACTGCTCATATTGGAACTGCTTATATGGTACTGCTTATACCTGGAACTGTTATACAGTATATGGAACTGCATATATGGTACTGCTTATATCTGGAACGCTTATATATAAAAAATAAATAAATAACTAAATAAAGATAAATAAATATAAATAAATATAAATAAATATAAATAAATATAAATAAATATAAATAAATATAAATAAATAAATAAATAAAAAATAAAAAAATAAAAAAAAATAAAAAAAAAACTGCAGGCTCTGTTGGATCCCTCACACTGGACTGTGAGCTCTCAGTTTAAACTCCTCACTTGGACTGCGGGCTCAGTTAATCCCTCACTTGGACCGTAAAACCTGTTTAAATCCCTCACACTGGACTGCAGCTCTCGGTTTAATCCCTCACTTGGACTACAAGCTCTCAGTTATAAATCCCTCTTTTAGGACTGCGGGCAATGTTGAATCCCTCACTCTGGACTACAAGCTCTCAGTTAATTCCTCACCTTGGACTACAGGTCGTTTAACTCCCTCACGCCGGACTGCAGGCTCTCAGTTAAACGCCTCACTTGGACTGCGGGCTCAGTTTTAATACCTCACTTTGGACTGCAAGCTCTATTTAAATCCCTCACATTGGACTGCAAGCTCTGTTTAGGTCCCTCGGCGTCTCTCGTGTCCCGTAACCTCTTCCCGGCTCTCCGTGAGCCCCAAGTCGGCACGCGGCTCGGGCGCGGGAGGTGTCCGTGGGCTACGTCATTGGCCCCTTCTCTCCGTCTCGCTCTAACCCGATGGGCATCGCCACCCGCAAGCACTCCAGGAAGAAGCGTCTCATATTCGTCCTCTCCTGTCCCCGCTCCGGGCCCGCCCGAGCATCAACAGCCCCTTCCCTCCAGCGCCCTTCTCCCTGCAGTCCGCTACCGTGGACCACGCGATCAGGCTGATAAAGACTTTCGGCCCCGGCTCCTGGCTCTCCAAGGCCGACGTCCCGGACGCGTTCGAGCTGCTGCCCATCCACCCCAACCACTGGCGCCTGTTCAGGGGTCAAGTGGCGTCGGAGTTCTTCTTCGCAGTGCGCCTCACCTTTGACTGCCGGAGTAGTCCCTCTCGTTCAACAATCTCTCGGAGGCGCCGTGTCGGTTTCTGCTTAATTACGCGCGGCTCCCCTCTGTCCTGCATCTCCCCGATGATTCCCTCGTAGTCAACCCACCCTCAGACTGCTCCGGGGGCTCTCTCCGCAAGCTCAGGCCCGCCTTCTCTGCCCTCGGATTCCTTCACTCCGGAAAGACCACAGGCCCCGCCAACGCTCTGGAGTTTCTCGGCATCCGCCTCGACACACGCGCCATGGAGGCCTCCCTCCCGCTGGACAAGCTCGAACGCATCCGCGCTTTCTCCCGGTCTGCCTTGTCCTTTGCCGTCACTTCGAGGCGTCCTTGCTCTCCCTCCTCGGGCATCTTAATTATGCCATCCGTATCATTCCCCAAGGTCGTTCTTTTAATTCCAGACTCCTCTCCCTCGCCGGCTCCGTCTCCTCCCTCAATGACGCTGTCTGCCCGGACGCGGGGCGCCGCTCCGACCTGGCGTTCCGGTCCCGTCTGCAGAGCCGCTGGGATGGTGTATCTCTTTTTTTTACAGTGACGTCATCCTGTCCTCAGATGCCCCGCGGTTCTTCACGGACGCAGCCTCGTCCGTGGGTTTTGGGGGTTTTCCAGGACCAGTGGTTCGCCGGGCCCCGGCCCGACGCTTTCCCTTGAAGCATCTCCTCCGCGCTCCACGAGATATATCCCGTGACCGTAGCCTGCGTGCTGCGGAACCATACGTGGCATAGGAAAAGGATTTCCGTGACGTGCGACAACCTCGACGTCATTGAAATAATTAACAGAGGTCGTTCATCCTCTCCCCAAATCATGTCTTCCTTAGACGCATCACATGGCTCTCAGTCCTGAACAATTTATCATCACTGCTCGTCACGTCCCTCGTCACCTAACTGTCTTGCTGACTCTCTCTCTCGCTTTAAATTCCAGGAGTTCTGACGCCTTTGCCCTTCTGCCAATCCATCGCCATGCCAGATCCCCTGCACGGAATCCCTCGCCCTGGTCTAGTCCCTCCGTCTCTTCACCTTCTCTCCTCCGCTGCATCCTACATGAAAATGGGCTTCTTACGCATAAGCGAATTCACAAACTCTCACGCCACCTTTAATGCATCCCGAGACATTGCCTTCTCTGACCTGTCATATTATCCCGACTACTTCAACCTCCACCTCAAGCATTCCAAACGCAAAGGCGCTTGCAACATAGTCATAGCTCGTTCTGACACTTCTCCCTGTCCCTACAGATCCATGATGCATTACACTCGCCTCCGCTCTCGGAAAGGAGATCTCAACGGACCGCTTCCTCACTCCCGATAACCTCCCCATGACATCAACTGGTTCAGAGCCCAACTCAAGTCTGTTCTGCTGCTTGTAACTTGTCCCCTCATCTCTACACAGCTCACTCGTTCAGATAGGCGCTGCCACGCGCGCCGCTTCCCTGGGTCTCCCCATTCTGCCTCAGCAGCTGGGGCGCTGGTCATCATCGGCCCTCTCCTCATACATCAGGCCGGACACTTCGACTATTCTGGCAGCCCAGCTTCTCTTGGCATCTCCATAAAACACTCGCAAAAACTTCCTGGTGGCGGCAGCAGCTGAGCATCTATAGATAGCGGTCACAGTATATAGCGGTCACAGTATATAGCGATAGCGGTCACAGTATATAGCGATAGCGGTCACAGTATATAGCGATAGCGGTCACAGTATATAGCGATAGCGGTCACAGTATATAGCGATAGCAGTATATAGCGGTCACAGTATATAGCGGTCACGACGTCTGTCCCCTGCAACCAGGCCTGCAAAACTCCATCAACACACAGCCTTTTTGGGGATTGTGCGCGCACTCTCGCAGGAGCCTCGCTGACTGAACGCCGCACCGGGGCCTAGGGCGCCAAACCACCTCTCAATAAAATACTCAAAAGCATTCTTGTTTCCTCGTCTCTCCAAATTGAAATGCAGCTCGCGGAAATTCAATTTGGAAGACGTCAGCCAAAGCCACCCCTTCCAGGCCGGCCTCGCATCCCCAGCCTATCGCAGCAAACGCCCCCTTCCAATCATCCGTGCCGGCCAGGCCAGCCGCTTAAAAGCGGAGAAACTCCCACTTCACGGCCTCTCGAAGCCTTGCAACCACCGCCTCCCCTCCTCCTCCTCTTCACCCTGCCTCCAATCTGCCTCCAATCTGCCTCCAATCTGCCTTCCTGCTGCCAAATGCCGCCACCAGTGCCTAGGTCCCGGGGGATTGTGCGCGCACTCTCGCAGGAGCCTCGCTGACTGAACGCCGCACCGGGGCCTAGGGCGCCAAACCACCTCTCAATAAAATACTCAAAAGCATTCTTGTTTCCTCGTCTCTCCAAATTGAAATAACATGTGGAAAAAGTGAAGCGCTGAGAATACTTTCCGGATGCTCTGAATATAGTCCTTAAGTTGATCCAGGTGTTTAGGGTTAGGGTTAGGGTTAGGGTTAGGGGATTTAGTGAATGGAACTTTTCAGCAGGACGTTGCCATGTTACAGATGAGAACCAGCATCCCCTCCTCAGGCTCCACGCTGTATTGGTAAATCTAACATAGCCTAATTTCTGTCTATGACAGCAGTTGTTGAGAAAGTAATTTGACTGGAATAGTGATTGTTAAACAGAAGTGTTAGTAGCAGCAAAAGAGCAGACAAACCTTGTTTTCCTCATTGTCTAAAACTATTTATTTCACTGACAAAATTAGTGATATAAAAAATCCCTCGTTAAATCTGTTTTCATACACCAATTAGAATAATTTATTAAAGGCGCAGGTTACACTCATTACTTTGGGGATCCCAATCTTGTCGTCCTGAGTAGAAGTAGCAGTAATAGTAGCACTAAAAGTAGTTGTACTCACCGCGGCAGGATTTGCCGTCCTGTTGCAGCATACCGGTCACACAGCTGCACACAGGACCAACGCTCTTACTGCTGCAGATCTGCTCACATCCTCCATTAGCCTCAGCACACCAGTCTGCCGCTGGACACAACACAGGGCATTACCATCATACCTACACCACCACCACCGCCGACCAGGATCAGGGAGAGGTGGAGGAAGGACGTTTATCCCTAAAATATTACAGGAGAACTGCACAGCACAAAAGAACTACATCTGCACATCTTGAAAAATAGAATCATTAACAATCAACAATTTACAGAGTAAGGAATATATCATGACATTGGCTTTGACTTCTCTGACCAGAGAGAAACAGGAGAGCCTCACAACAAGTATAAGTTTCAGTTACAATAGTTTGAACAGTTCATCTTATTAACAGAGTGAGACAGGACAACAGTCTGGTTAAGACACATCTCCACAAAGCAAGTAACACAATATAGATAGATCAATACTTTATTGATCCCCATAGGAGAAATACAGGTGTCCAGCAGCAGCAAAAATAAAATAAAATAAAATTGATCATTCTAAAAAGTTAACAATAGTTATAATCAGTAACAGCCCTTTAGGTCACAGCCGCAGAGGTGGAGCAGGACGGGTCACAGCAGCAGAGGTGGAGTAGCCTCTGGGTGGAGCAGGACGGGTCACAGCAGCAGAGGTGGAGTAGCCTCTGGGTGGAGCAGGACGGGTCACAGCAGCAGAGGTGGAGTAGTCTCTGGGTGGAGTAGGACGGGTCACAGCAGCAGAGGTGGAGTAGTCTCTGGGTGGAGCAGGACAGGTCACAGCAGCAGAGGTGGTGTAGCCTCTGGGTGGAGCAGGACAGGTCACAGCAGCAGAGGTGGAGTAGCCTCTGGGTGGAGCAGGACGGGTCACAGCAGCAGAGGTGGAGTAGCCTCTGGGTGGAGTAGGACGGGTCACAGCAGCAGAGGTGGAGTAGCCTCTGGGTGGAGCAGGACAGGTCACAGCAGCAGAGGTGGAGTAGACACTGGGTGGAGCAGGACGGGTCACAGCAGCAGAGGTGGAGTAGCCTCTGGGTGGAGCAGGACGGGTCACAGCAGCCGAGGTGGAGTAGCCTCTGGGTGGAGCAGGACGGGTCACAGCAGCAGAGGTGGAGTAGCCTCTGGGTGGAGCAGGACGGGTCACAGCAGCAGAGGTGGAGTAGCCTCTGGGTGGAGCAGGACGGGTTACAGCAGCAGAGGTGGAGTAGCCTCTGGGTGGAGCAGGACGGGTCACAGCAGCAGAGGTGGAGAAGCCTCTGGGTGGAGCAAGACAGGTCACAGCAGCAGAGGTGGAGTAGCCTCTGGGTGGAGCAGAACGGGTCAAAAGGTGGAGTAGCCTCTGGGTGGAGCAGGACGGGTCAAAAGGTGGAGTAGCCACTGGGTGGAGTAGGACGGGTCAAAAGGTGGAGTAGCCGCTTGGTTCGGACCATTTTCTCTGCTCTAGTCCAAAGTAAAATGCTAAATGCTTCATTAGCATTTTTCAAAAGTTAGAATTCTTCCAGTGGAATTTTGCCTGATCCGATTGGGTCGAACCATGAATCCTCTCTGCTCTGGTCTGGACCAGTGTAAAATACTTTAGATATACTGACAACAAGTTGAGTACTGATTAAACCTATGTCATTCAGAGAAGAGGTGTTGCAGATGTCACAAAGTAGGCAGTAAAAGTAGTGCGATAAAAAGCCAGGGTGTAAAGTGGGCCAGACGGCAGTGACTCGTCACCAACAGAACCCAATCAGCTGCTTTTGTAGATGAGGTTTGTGTTCCCTTTGGGAGGAGGTACCTCTCAACGGATACACAGCTCGCCCTGATTCTCCTCACTGTATTTTGATCAATAGAAATGACTTCTGTTCCAAGCAGCAACACTCTACCTTGAACAATAAACTATTAATTGATTGCACTGCACCCCCTAGTGGTGACTCTATACTCTCAATACTCTATATTTTTCCTAAATCTTTGGTTTGTATTTATGTTTGGACATTGCTTCATCTCCATCTCTATTTTTTGCCACAGTTGTATGCCATTGACTGTAAAGCTAAAACTTGTCATATGTTTTGGTGATTAAAAGTTTAGTTTCCCTCGTATTATATATCATCCAGTACGCTCTAGAATTATTTTTGTATTTGGTTTGGTAACAGTTTGTAGAATACAATACAATTTAGTTTTTCCTCCATAGTCCTAAATCCCAACAGAAGTCCTCTCAGAGGACTTAATGAAACCATTGAAATCACCAACACAGATCAGAGAGTCAACAGTTAAAACACAAACCATACTCATATGTATTGGTCCATAGGGAGAGACCAATGTCCATGTTGATAAATGTCATACATGTTGAAGAATTTTAGAGTGTCCTGGATCATCACCACAGTCCTTTTTTAAACATTTTTTATGTATTTGATTGGGACAACACACATTAATGAACAATCATATACAAGTTGTACACAAATTGTAAATGTGCCAGATTGTAGCAAAACTGCTAATTTACATCCGTGTCTTGTTAGACACTAACTGTCCAACAGACCCTCCTGCATCGGCAAGGCAGAACATAAGTAGGGCTGCCAAACAATTAAAATGTTTAATTGAGTTCATTACAGCTTAAAAATTAATTAATCAGAATTAATCACATTTTGAACTATTGGGAAATGATGCGATATTTTCCTGTAAAGGGTTGTTTGAATGCGCCTGGTGGCCGGCCCTTAGCCCACGGGGCCCGGCAGGGCTCAGCCCGAAAGGACGACTTGGGCAGTCCCTCCTGTGGGCCCACCACCTGCAGAGGGGTCCGTGGTGGCGAAGCGGTGCAGCGAGGACTGGGCAGCAGTCGAAGGCGGAGACCTCGGCGTCCCAGTCCGCACACCCAACATCTGGCTCTTGGGACGTGGCACGTCACCTCACTGGGGGGGAAGGAGCCCGAACTTGTGGGGGAGGTTGAGCGATACCGACTAGAGATAGTCGGCCTCACCTCCACACACAGCTTGGGCTCTGGAACCCAACTCCTTGAGAGGGGTTGGACGCTCCACTTTTCTGGTGTTTCCCGCGGGGAGAGGCGGCGAGCTGGGGTGGCCATACTCATTGCCCCCCATCTCAGCCGCCACGTGTTGGAGTTCTCCCCGGTGAATGAGAGGGTCGCCTCCCTCCGCCTCCGGGTGGGGGACAAGTCTCTCACTCTTGTGACTGCCTACGGGCCTAACGGCAGTGCAGAGTACCCGGCCTTCTTGGAGTCCTTGGGAGGTGTACTGGACGGTGCACCGCCCGGGGACTCCGCTATTCTCCTGGGGGACTTCAACGCCCATGTGGGAAATGCCAATGACACTTGGAGAGGGGTGATCGGGAAGAACGGCCCCCCTGATCTGAACCCGAGCGGTGTTCAGTTGTTGGACTTGTTGGACACCAGTGCACGTGGCACCAGGACACCCTAGGCCGGAGGTCGATGATCCACTTTGTTGTCGTATCATCTGACCTTCGACCGCGTGTCTTGGACACTCGGGTGAAGAGAGGGGCGGAGCTGTCAACCGATCATCACCTGGTCGTGAGTTGGATCCGCTGGCAGGGGAAGAAGCCGGTCAGACCTGGCAGGCCCAAGCGTGTTGTGAGGGCTTGCTGGGAACGTCTCGCTGATCCCCCTGTCAGACGGACTTTCAACTCACACCTCCGGGAGAGCTTCTCCCAGGTCCCGGCAGAGGAGGGGGACATCGAGTCCGAGTGGACCATGTTCTCTTCCTCTATCGCCAATGCGGCGGCTCGTAGCTGTGGTTGCAAGGTCTCCCGTGCTGGTCCCGGCGGCAATCCCCGAACCCGGTGGTGGACACCGGCAGTAAGGTATGCCGTCAGGCTGAAGAAGGAGTCCTATCGAGCAATGATGGTTTGTGGGACTCCTGAGGCAGCTGTCCAGTACCGGCAGGCCAAGCGTGCCGCGGCCCGGGCTGTTGCAGAGGCAAAAACCCGGGACTGGGAGGAGGAGTTGGGAGAGTCCATGGAGCATGACTATCAGTCGGCCTCGAAGAGGTTCTGGCAAACCATCCGGCGCCTCAGGAGGGGGAAGCAGTTCTTTGCCAACACCGTGTATGGTGCGGGTGGAGGGCTGCTGACCTCGACTGTGGATATTGATCGGGCGGTGGAAGGAATACTTCGAGGTTCTCCTCAATCCCCCCGTCACGTCCTCCGTCCAGGAGGCAGAGGCTGTTGGGGCGGATACTTCCATCTCCCTGGCCGAGGTCACCAAGGTGGTTGGCAGCCTCCATGGTGGCAAGGCGCCGGGAGTGGATGAGATCCGTCCTGACTATCTAAAGTCTCTGGATGTTGTGGGACTGTCTTGGCTGACACGTCTCTGCAACATGGCGTGGCGATCGGGGGCGGTGCCAATGGAGTGGCAGACCGGGGTGGTGGTCCCTCTCTACAAGAAGGGGGATCGGAGGGTGTGTTCCAATTATCGTGGGATCACACTCCTCAGCCTCCCCGGTAAGGTCTACTCCAAGGTACTGGAGAGGAGGCTACGGCCGATGGTCGAATCTCGGATCTCGGAGAAGGCGTTCGACCGTGTTCCCCGGGGTGTCCTTTGGGGGTCCTCCGGGAGTACGGGGTTCGGGGTCCTCTGCTAAGGGCCGTCCGGTCCCTGTATGACCGGAGTCAGAGCTGTGTTCGCATTGCCGGCAGTAAGTCAGACCTGTTCCCGGTGCATGTTGGCCTCCGACAGGGCTGCCCTTTGTCACCGGTTCTGTTCACTGTATTTATGGACAGAATTTCTAGGCGCAGCCAGGGGTCGGAGGGGGTCCGGTTCGGAGACCACAGGATTTCATCTCTGCTGTTTGCGGACGATGTTGTCCTGTTGGCTCCAACGAACCAGGACCTGCAACATGCACTGGGACGGTTTGCAGCCGAGTGTAAAGCGGCTGGGATGAGAATCAGCACCTCCAAATCTGAGGCCATGGTGCTCGACCGGAAAAAGGTGCCTTGCCCTCTCCGGGTGGGTGGAGAGGTCCTTCCTCAAGTGGAGGAGTTCAAGTATCTCGGGGTCTTGTTCACGAGTGAGGGAAGGATGGAGCGTGAGATTGACAGGCGGATCGGTGCAGCGTGCGCAGTGATGCGGTCGCTGTA